TTTGCTTTGTTCTAATATAGCAGGAATTCAAGTGTTTACGGATTCAAAAAGGTTATAAGTTATCCTCTGAAAGAAAATGTTTTTCAACGATCCCTCAGCTGTTGAGCGCCATATTTTAACTTTCGTCGTGCGATTATGCATTATTATCTATGACAAAACCGGGTCTGCTTTGTGAAAGTTAAGGACAAAACCGGGTGCTTTAATTTTGACATTACCCACTTTTTTCATTCCATGCACAGACATGCAAATATTGAGGTGTTCATAGTGACAAGTCTTGAAATCACCGAGTTAATATCTTTCTTTCCGTACCTTTCTTTCCGTACAATGTGCTCAATTTAAAGTGAAATTAAACAAATTCGAGGCAGGGTTCACTCAATTCACCATTTTGAAGTGCCTTTTTACTTATTTCTCCATAAATCTAGAACGGTTGTAGAAAATATTACATCACACTATCGAAAATAGTTATATGTGTATGTACATTCTTCAATATCATTAAAAAAACAAATAAATAAACAGAATTTCTACTTTTCTCTGTCTGTTGATTGTCCGTCACCGTACCGGACATTAGATACTATTGAGTCCAAACATTTTTCGCCGGGGTAGTTTAGACACAGTGAAGTTACAAATTGACAAATTTACGTATTACGAATTTTCAAATTACAAAGGTACAAGTTACAAATTGACAATTTACGAAGTAAGAAATTTGAAATTACAAAGATACAAGTTACAAATAAGTAAGAATTTTGACCCCGTTGGCTTTCCATAAATGTATTCATGGCAATTCTGTGATAGTTTCTATTAATTCATTCATTTAAGACACCTATTTATTGTTACAGGCCGTGTTGGCCCTAGATACCTTTTTTCCGTACGGTGCCGTTGTACTCCTGTCTCGTTTGCGTATATCCGACATAGAATTAGGCATTTCCAATTCTCGTCACACCGTAACTGTTGGTTATTATGTTGTTATGTTGTTGTCTTTTGGTTGTCTATATCGTTTGGTTGCTGGCCACAGCATATCTCATTATTTTTATTGTGAATATCATTTGTCACAGTCGGTGCACGAACTATGGGATCACTGTTGAAGGTCTTTACCCGATATCTGGTACAATACTTATCTTCGTGACATTGCAATTATTTCGAACATGAACATTTAATACTGGCTGATGGAATATTATATTTCAGGGATTGTAGATCTGAAAGGTGGGGTAATATGTAAAATTTAATCAGTCAACGTTGTCTGTTTACAGGGGTATATAGAAAACATGATACCAAACGACAACGAGTACAAGTACACAATGTAGTTTAGTCTACTAGGTGGGTTATGGGATAGATACTATCAATTGTTGTTAAATACTCAAACAAATCATGGAACAGGTAACGAAACTAATACTGAAAGACTAGTTTGTTACTTAATTGACAATCAAACTATTAAGTATTCCTTAATCAGAATTACTTAATACATAACTCATATGTTTGTATATATATTGACAGTTATGGGTAGATATTGATAAATATTGTTTTTCAAATTTGACTTATTTCACATGTTGTCATGTCGGTGCTTTTATAACTTACTATGGGTTTTGATTATTGTTGGAGCCCGTACAATACCCTATAGTTATTTGCATGATCGTCCTTTGGTGGATAGCTGTCTCATTGGCAATCATACCACATCTGCTTAATGCTAAATCTATACTACATTACATGTAATGGTTTATCTATAAAAATGCTGATATGCAATAAAATTTCCTTGCATGAAGAAGACCTGAAATATCAACTTTTTATAATATCCGAATTTTTAGAATGTATGAATTGGTATATGAATTCCTAATGTCTGTCTAGTCAATCTTTTCCCGTTGTTATTCATGACATGCATAGCATGCACTTCAAGTCCATGATAACCTTGTGTTATTGGCCAAGGCCAGTTCGATTAGTTTAAGATCAATGTTGAAGGTTTAAATTAAGTCATCTGGTATAATAATGCTTATTTTTTTGATTCACGTCGTGGAAAACAAATCCACGTTTTATGTTAGTCATTAACCTGTTGACTGATTTAGTGTGATTAGTGATACCTGGATATTTCACTTAGAATAATAAGTAGATGAATAGGTCTTTTACATTGGTAACTATTCAGTCTGGGCTTTCTAATGAAATCACCAATGTTGAAAATAATAGAATACTTTAAAAATCCTATTGATGCTTGATCAGCATTATTTTTAAATTCTGAATTGTCTAAAAATTTCTTGATAAAAACATTCTGATTTTCTACAAAAAAAGAAAAAAAATATATATCGAAAGGTCATGAATATGATCAAAGTGTTAAATACATACTGTACAGAGAATTACATAAGAGTCGGCTTACTGTAAAAAATCAGTGTTGGGAACTTACTGTACTGAGGAACAAGAGTCGGCTAACTGCAGGATTAAATTTTCTTATAGAATAATTTTAATAGTATTTCATGGAATCTGTGTTGACTACTTCTTACTCAAAGTTTTTACTCTCAGTACACGAATTTCTACGAAATAAGATAATAACTGATTCAGCAAACAGAAACTAAAAGCATTCAAAAACTCGTCAGAAGGTACAACTCTTGAAAGATGAAGTTAGACTGATTACACGTTTTCCCCTTTTCTGTATGTTTTGTCGTATAATCTAAGACACGACGTGTGTTCCGAGAATGCCGAACTCAGTGCATGTTAAAGAACTTACGCAACATCTTACCAGACAAATGTGATCTTTTAATGGCAAAATATCTGACGGTATATAGTTGTAACCTTGTTTTCCCTTATGGTACATCCATTTATATATATATATTTTTTTATATTATTAATCGAATATTTTTAAGGATTTTTGATTCGTTAAAACTTGATCACATGTACATTTGTATTTGCTCAGTTTGCACGCCAATACTGTTGTGTTTAGCTTTTCGTAGGTCAAAAACAGCATATTGCACAGGGCATACAGCATGTTACTAAAAATAGATTCTAGAAATCCCCAATTTTACATTGTTCATGCTATAGTCAGTGTTGATTAATAATATAACAATTGTAGCCTTTGGTTGAGGTCAATACGATGTTATATCGACCCAGAGAAGCATATCGACCTCGGACTTCGTCCTCAGTCAATATGCTTCTCTTAGGTCGATATAACCTCGTATCGACCTCACACAAAGGCTATAATTGTATAATATCATGCAAACTGAAAGTGTTTAGTGCATCTTGTCGCTTTGCAAGATTTATGTCCGATATAAACTTATCGGAAAGTTGAATGAAAGCTTAAGGTTAGCTGCAGCAAAGTACAACAAACAAACTTAAAGAACAACACACAAGCTTAAATGATAACACATATTTAACTATGTTCTGTTAGTTAAAGCTGCAGGTATAATTATACATATTAAACTATGTTCTGTTAGTTAATACTGCATGTATAATTATACATATTAAACTATGTTCTGTTAGTTAATACTCCATGTCTGATTATAGAGGGGCCTGATGGGGGGGGGGGGGGGGGGGGGGGGGGGGGGGGGTCTCATCACGATTCACGAGTTGATTTTTTTGTCAATCACGATTCACAGAAAATAAATTTCCATGATCACGGATCACGAAAATATAAAAAAAAATAAATCTGTAGAAAAACAGATCACGATAGCGAAAATGCGCCGATCACGAAGAACGAAAATAACCCATCAGGCCCCTCATTATACATATCAAACTAAGTTCTGTTAGTTAATACTGCATGTACGATTATTCATATCAAACTATGCTTTTTTTTTTAATTAATACTGCATGTATAATTATACAAATTTTGGTCGGCTATTTCCACAGTATGTTTGGCTTAAAGTCCATAAATTGGAGTAGTTTTCATATGATATAATTGAATTCCATCGAGCGTTGTGTATTTACAAAGAAATATCTCTGCTAATCAAAGAAGTTTGAGACAACCTTTACCCGCAGTGTTACAAACTGAACAGTACTGCTTATTCTGTAATTTATACAACTCATTAGATAATGAAGTTTGTATGTGACTGGTAACATTGTAACCATAAAAGCCACAAAGTCAACATACCATTACATTGTGAGGCTTGTACGTTTCTTTGCTTATTTTTCCCCCCGTTGTTGTACATGCACGCAACTAAGGCAACCTTAAAAATGTACAGATTCTCAGACAAATAGTACTTTAACTTGTGATGTCCAAATTACAACTGAAATCGACGTTATATTAAGTGAAAAAAATCGAAAGTCCCGGTTATATAAAATAGGTTGATCAGAGAAATGAACGATTTATTTAGATGTTTCCTTGGCCTACTCAAAATAGTTATCAGTGTTGTTTCAATAGTATCTTGATATTGGTCTTGGCGTTTCTAATGTAGCATTCTGTATAACAAATAAAGGCAAAAGGTTAATACTGTTAACCTGAATACTCCTTTCCATATACAACGAGCATGAAATATTTGCCACTGAACGCAAGCAAAAAACAACCAACAAAGCAATAAATTTAACGTTGTGGTATCTTTATACATGTAGAGCTTGTTTTAGGGCCGTATACAATTTATCATTCACCTTTACTCCAACTTCATTTACACTAACATCGTGAATTGTGCCATCGTTTTTTTTCATCCATATATATGAGATTATTATATGGTAGAAAGTACTTTCACCTATTTTACATAGAAATTTTATTTGTTGTGTTACAAAAATAACATCTTCTTTCTGTCAGCTTATTATGTCTGGTCCATTTACGAATTACAACATCAGTTTTTTCATAATGATATGTAGGCTGAGATAGTTATTTGATGTTGCTAATAACTAACTTGTTTAGTGTGTATTTAGACTGGTATGTTTGTGTTGTTTCTCGCTTTGTTTTTCATTTAAGTGTTGGGTTTTCCTTGCATCGACAAACTGGTGTTCTCTAACCTGCAGTAGTTTTAAATGTTGTATAATAGTAGTTTTATGTTATCAAAAGAGTTTTGAAAATAAGATAACATATAAAGTAAAAAAACAAATTTCATTTTTTATACAATTTTTATTTCGCTCTAGATTTGCCATTCAGTGACATTATGCCATACTCTTAAATTCTTTGCCAGCAAGAGGTAATAATAACAAGATGAAATGACAACATCATGAAAAATAGATTTGAAAATATAGAATTTAACATTTCAGCAATTCAACAACAATTTCAACAAACTTTCATACAACAAAAACAAAAACTTAACACAACATCAAAATAATAAAAAAAATCTTCCTCTTTCTTCTTTCGCCATTTTCATTAAATGAGATATGAGGTAAAGGCAAGTAAATTAATAGGCATTTAGAGTAATCTCCCTTTGACTGGCCTATTAGTGAACAGGTTTGGTAAACAAAGGCACAACTGTAAGTGTTCAGGGGAAAATTCAGCAGGGAAAAAAGGGGGAGTCAGATCTAAGGTATAAAAAATAGCACTATTAATCTCAAAAGAAAGAAGTTAAAGCATGAAATGAAGAAAAGTGCTAAAATATTGTTAGTAGAGCACCGGTGAAAATATTATATGATTTGGGATTTCATGGCCCTACTTACTAATAAAAATAAAAATTGCTGCCAAAATTTACATAAAATTAACAAAATTTGAATTATTGAAAGTTCTACATATAATGATATACCACATCGCTGGATGTCAAAAAATAAATCCTCCTTCAGTTGTTTGATTACAATTGAGGGTCTGAACTCAGACGTTTTTTTCACAGGGATAACACGTTAAAGCTAATTTTACATCAATTAAAGCCTTATATGATAAGTACACAAATTGAAATTCAACAACAGCTTTGAAAGAGAAATAAATAATTTGAGAATTTACTTTCTCCTCACCTCTAAAAGTTAGAAGTTGACCCCAGCGATGCGTCTAATAATTTAAGCACTACTTGTATTTGTATACATATATAATCTACCAGTTTCCCTGATATATTTCTGGTAACAAATTCATAATAATAATATTTGAGCATGAAAAATGTAAAACACGACAATGAAAAAATGTTTAAACTTGTTTACAAATTTGACATTGTTGTAGTTACTATGGTTGGTAAGTTTATTGCACCAGGCCCGCTAGTGCATGCTGGTAGAAAGTCTGAAATAGCACCAGTTGTTGACGGCAAGGACACGCTTGATGATAATGTTTTAGCTTCTTTTTTCATTTTTTGTTTTAAATGTACTTTAGCATGTCTTTTCTTTTCGTCACTTCTTGCGAATTTCTTTCCACAAACATCACATGAGAAGGGCTTTTCGCCAGTATGCGTACGCACGTGCGTCGTTAAATGATCACTTCTGCTGAATGAGCGCATGCAGATCCGGCAGTGAAACGGTTTCTGACCTGTGTGGATTCTGATATGTCGTGTAAGTTCATCACTTCGAGAAAAACGACGATCACAACCTTCAACTGGACATGCGTATGGCCTTTCGTGTGGCGGTGTTTTGCTTGGTCTGTTTGGGTACTTTCTCGGTTTAACCGGTAAAAGCTTAAGAGTGCCTTGTTGATAAGGTGTATTTAACACTGACGGTAATGTTTGTTTTTGTACAATGCTCGATGATGTGCCAGGTAAGCTGTATTCTTGTGACGTAGTTGGTATAAAGTACTCTGGAGACATACCGGGCTCTGTTTTGATGAGAGGGAACTGTCCCTGATGTTGAAACCCAGCTTCCGAAACTTGTGGATTATTCACTTGTAATGCAGTGAAGTTCGGTAACTGAGTTTGTTCTTGTTCTACTGTCCATTTAAAGTCACTTGTTAAACTTATATCCTTTGTATTGTACTCGTCAGAGAAATGTAACACAGTTTGGGGTACGCTCTGTGGTACTGATACGGACATCGTGGCGGTTGGGAAACTCATCGCCATTGAATGTGCACTATGTTGTTGTGAACAAGAGCTCAATATTTGAGGTTGTTTTATCTGCATTTCGTATGATGGTGGGCGTGAGTACGGTGGTGGTGGGCTCGTATACTGATTCAATGATTCTTGCAACATTTGCATTTGTTCGCAAACCGGTATGTTGGGTTCCGGAGAACATGGAGTAGACTGTGTTGAACTAACAGGTGATGCAAATCCTGCAGAATATGTGTCGCTAGCTTCTCGAATCCCCATTTCCGGTGGTGGTGATCCAGTTAAAGAGTGTTGTGAAGAAGTCGATGGAGCGGGACTAAAGCGAGGCTGCTGTTGTTGCTGCTGTTGTTGTTGTTGCTGAAGATATTGCGACAACTCAGCAATATCGGGATACTCCTGTTGTTGTTGAATTTGTGGCACATGTGAAGAAAGTTGTGCTTGATGGACCTGGGCAGCTTGCGTCAAAATGCTCAAAAGAGGTGACAGTGGAGCAAAGACCTGCTGTGAACTTGATGGTGGAAGAAGATGATCTGAGCTTGTAGATACAGGTGCTACCGATGATGCGACAAGAGTTCCTTTGTACTGTATTCTATGAGTAAATTGTGATTGTTGCTGTTGTTCGTCTTGTTGTTGATGTTGTGGATGAAGTTGTTCCAATCCAGATTCTTGTCTATTAGCTCCCTCTGGCTTGTCTGGGAAAGCAGCCTTTAAGTTTGCTGTAAATATAAAGGATAATAACATTTAAAATACTATTTTGTAATAAAAGAAAATTAAAGGTTAATCCCTAGTTATTTTTAGTTCATACACCCCCTTCACAGTGTCAGTATGTGGGACAATACTCAATTACTATGAAGAAAAAATGCTTACGTTTAACTGTAAAATTTATTACGAATTCATATGTAGTATCTTTTGCAGACCGTGGCATTTCACTTTAAGTTTTACTGAGTATATTTTTTTTCAAGTAATGAGTGTTCATTTAAGTGCTGGCATTACTTCAAAATATGCATATGCGTCATTACAAGTTCTATGACGCAAACAGTATCTTTTTCTATAAATAGATGTTGCAGTATTCATTAGCTCCGCCTCTTATGGTATATTTCATGTGGGCGATTTCGATAGTGGGTGTCTAAACATAAACAGAACTCCATGTGTTTCTTACTATAATTTGTAAAATCACATGTTTTTGCAAATCAAACTAATTTTCAATACTTGAAATGTATAAAAATGACCAAAAATATGCTTACAATCAAATAATTTAGTGCGACTGTTGTCTGCGCATATTCAGACCTATGACGCACGAAGATTTACTTCATAATCGACATTCTTTTCCAACATTCCAAGTCATATATGACAATTTAGCACAAAATCTAGATATTTAACAAAATTTACAAATTTGTACAATTGACATCACAATATTCAATATAGTTATAAGATGTTTACATCACAAGTAAAGTTTAAGCTACCGCATATGTAGTAGAAATATGCAGGCAAAAAATCAAAGTTCAACAGCCTGAAACTATGAATGAAATAAAATGACCTACCAGTTGCAGTAATGGGAACCGATTCCCAAGGCTCTCCACAATTAAAAAATGTAACATCCTGAGTGTTGCTTGTAACTGGTGTGTTAAGATTATCATCCACAGACATAGAAGGCAAACGGCCTCCTCCAACTCCTTGTGTGTTATCAATATCAAAACACAACTGAGCTATAGTGTTCACTTGGTCTGCCAAAGCGACCTGGGATAACGTATCAAGTCCGTCCATAATCATGTTTATAAACAAAGTAATGATTCACAAGTATTATATAATATTGTCCAATAGTAAAAATTCATAAGTCGAGATTAAACGACTACATTCGATGATCAACTCAGCTCTATGAATGAACAAATTCTGTTGTACAAGGATTTATGAATGAAAGAATAATTTACACCACTTGCCAAATAAGGAAATCTAATTAATATGCTAACCAATCGTATCGCTCTGCGGTTAGGTTGCCTAGCACTGTCTCTTGGCAACGATTGGCGTCACATTGACGTCAAACATAAATAATAGATAATCACTACTACTACTATTTACTATAAAATATATAGGTCAGTCAGAAATATCACCTTTTGGAATATTTTGCATAAAAAATAAAAGTCAAACTATTATCTATAGACATTTATCCATGTATTTTTCCAAATTTTAGCGAGAGTCATACTTTATTTTTCAAGAAAATCCACGTAGTAAGTTTTTACACATGAGTAAATTATTCTCGTAAATTTGACCTTTGATCTTCCGATTGCCATATTTCCTTATATGGGAGACAAGGTCGAATTCCAAATTGTGACGTCAAACTCGGAAAGGAAACAAAATGTCCATATAAGGAATATTGCTTCGGGTAAATTCGTTTATTCTCGTAAAACCGGATTAGTAGTAGCCAATTATAGAAGTTTCCGTCAGGCGGAGTTTTACGAAATTTAACGAGATACAGAAAATAACTTCGTGACGTCAGAGCAATTTGCACCGGTGTCAGAGCATATTTTGTTTTCTAGTGGTGGAAGAGACTAGAAAATATTAACCTAATCCAATCTTAAAAATCTATTTTTACTAGATCGATGACTCAAAAATGTCTATAGGATTAATCAATGAGATAAAACATCAGTCTAAAGATAGTTGGAGGTTATAAATAAACTCTGCAATGATGAGGAAAATGGCTGTTCTGTTGCAGGATCAATCTTTCCGTGGGCAAATTCGTAAATAATAGAAATGAAATTCTAAAATAGATAACCATTTGAATATGCCTACATAGATATATGCCAACAAAATATCATAGGAGATATGTACTCCAAATGGACTAGAGAAAGTTGGACACATGTCCTGTCACTGTTATTTTTATTTAATATTATTTTGTTAAACCTGTTTGTGTCGAATTATAAAATACAGAAGGAAAGAATAAACAAAATACTCTTGAAATTCTTTTTTTTCTGTTGGAAATCTTAATCATTTACATTCATCAAAACACAGTTGGGTTTATCAGGTGAATAAATGGAAGTAATGCTGTCCTTTGCAAAAAAATAACAAAAATTATAATGGCACTCAAACAACTGAAGAGCCAATTTTAATTGTAATGAGGCTAGATGATAATATCTGTAATATTATACTTATACATGTATATAAATATTTATATATTTACTGTGGAGTCTATAAAGGAGGGGGGAAATAGAGAGGTGGAAGGTACAAAAGGGATAGAATAACTTTCATAATACTTGTATATTATAGACCATATGTAAAAATATGTATTGGCCAAGGCATTTTATGCAATTACTCAGTAACTGAAGCAGGAACTGCTAAGTATTCTGTTTTAACCTGCATCAGGTGAATGCCAATCTAGTTACCAATTGATTCTGTATGCCATTCTGTCTGCCTGTCAGATTAAGACTAGGTTCAAATTTTCTTGGCTTTTATATTGAAAAGGAATGATTTTATATTTGGTCTGTAGCTTGATAATGTTGAGTTGTAGCGTGTAAGCTATTTTATTATATTCCGTACAGCTTATTAATTTTGCGTTCTATAGTGTTCAAGCAATTTTTATATCTGCCATGCAGCTACTTCCTGGTTGCCAATAGTTTGAAATTGAAATCAATTGTACATGTATCGACATATAGGTCTTGATTCAACTATTTTTTTCGTGTCCATGACATCATCACTTTATGATGTCCTTGATTTTTTTTTAGAAAACTTGACGTTTTTAGACAACGTAATATCAATGCTTGCTATAGAACTGTTTATTTCATAAAAATTAAAAAAAGGTTTATTTTTATATGATAAATTTGAAACATGTCAGTATAACTTGATGATTTCAAATGACTTTAATATTGCTCTTTAATGATGATTTTTACCAATTAATTGTGTTTTTGCCTATTATCATGATTATCTTGAAACTATAATGGATAGAGAGAAACTTCAAAGAGCAAAAATAATCGACAAATAAGTTCATATTGCTGCTCAAATCTGTATGGGAGTTCGTGCCCTTAAACAAGTTTTTACTATATTTACGTTTTTGCCTATCATCTTGAAAACTATAACAAATAGATTCAAATTCAAATAGCAAAAAAGATCAACAAGACAAGATCTACAAATTAGTCAACATGGCCTAAATCATGAGTTGTCTTTTTATAGGAGTTATTACCCTAAAATGTAAAGTTTTTTACACTTAATTGTGTTTAGGGCAAAAACTATGGAAATTAATTCTAATTATATTATAGTCTACAATGTTGGAGAGTGTCCATACATTATTGAAGATGCACATAGACCTAGGTGAGCTATACAGGATCTTTAGAGCCTCTGTGGATATGAGAATAGTGTGAGGGTTGAGTACTAACTAACCCTGCCACCAGTTTGTCCTTGTCAGTGGTTTGCAATGTCTTTTAGTGCTTACATTGACAACTTATCTAGAATTGAGCAATGAAGCAAGTGCAAACAGTACATTGATCTCAGGTCAGCTTTTTCAAGTTAAACTTGAATTGTAGGGTTGCTGTTCCCTTGACCTTAAGAGGGTTACACAATTAAGATGCTGTCCTTTTGAAAATTAATCTTCAGAGTTAAGTTACATGTATTACAGAAATGAAATACATATAATTTTTGACAACATTAAGATGAATCTTCATATTTTCTTGTTATACAATTGTTTACAGAATATTTTTGAAATATCTTACTTCATGCAATTATATTGAAGAGCTTATCCTTTAAATTAAGACTACATGACCTGAGATACTAAGACTGTATACAATTTTCCATCATTGGAGACTAGCTAGACTGACTTTCAGGTGTATCTTTTGTGGTCTTAATGGGTTGCTTGGTTGCTGTTTCACTAGCCCCAGTTATTAATACATGTATTTCAATCCTAGTGATCAATATAAATACTATTTAAAGTAGGCCAAAATTTTATTCAATTTTTGTGACTGATTATCAAACATTTGACCTTGTATCTTTTATCTCATGTCTAGGTCGTTACTAACATGTACCTTTATATCTATATTGTTTTATTTTACATGTATCTATAGACAATCCACTTATAAATCTCTCTGTTTTTCTGTTTGGAAGTTGACAGGAAACCAAAATATACACCTGTACACTAATGTATGACAAAGGTCAGGGGTGATGTACATGTATTATCTTTACACCTATTGGTGTATCTGATGGTGTAATGTGTTGGTCAACCTGTATATGTAATAATGTAGACTTCTTTGAGAGAAGGGGGTTGCATTTTAATGTACTTGAGGGGAAATTTTGAGTGAGGGTCTGTAAAAGCCAGTGATTGCCGTTTATATTTTAATGGGGAAAATACACACAAAAAATATACCAAAAAAATGTTGTATCATTTGAAATAGCAATACTAAGTGATTTTAATCTATGTCAGACTTGGTTCACTTGAAATTTTACAATAGAGTAAACAGTGGCGGATCTAGGGGGTGTTTCTGGGGTTGAAACCCCCCTTTTTTTGGACGTTCAATGCATTTGAATGGAGACATGGTTGGAACCCCCCCTTTTTCCTGGGTTGTGAACCCCCCTCCCCCCCATTTTGAAAATGGCTGGATCCGCCCCTGGTAAACATCAATGAAATAGTACAATTTGCTTTTCATGCAGAATTGTTTGTTATAATTTTTCCATTTGAAATCAGGGAGGTTTGTTGGATTGACTTTTTGTGCTAAAACTAACAATACAAAATCTTCAAAATATTTTACAGGAATTTTACCCTGGATTTGGTCTATAATTTTACATACATATATATTACCCATACACGTATAATATACAGTAGCTGACCCAAATTAAACAAAAGCCCATGATCTGATGTTGATTTGATGATCTGTTTACAAGCATGAAAGACCATAAAAAATATTAAATACTGCTATGTTCTTAAATTAAGAATAAATGCTTAATTCATATAGTATGGCAGGGGGCTTGGTGACAGAGTGGTGTAAGTAGTCAAACTGCTGTATCACTAGCCTGTCAACACTGTGATTGTGAGTTCAAATCTCGCACATGGTAGGTGCATTCAACTCCAATCTTAATTGACAATAGGAATGTCAGTTTTCCAACCGAAGATTGTGGATCTCTCCGGCACTCTGGCTTCCTTCGCCAATGAAAACTGACAGCCAGGAAAAAGCACAATAGTGGTGAAAGTGGGGTGAAACAAATCCAATCAATCATACATGCATAGTATGACCAATTTGTTCTGTGCTGAATATATGTACTTTTAGTTTAATTAAAAATGTAAACATGTGAATTCTCTTTAAACTCTCCGTGTGGTACATGTAGGTGTACACTTTTGTTCCCTGAATTGACAACCGTTCTGGATCAGAGTATCATGCACATATTGATTTGTGTTTTAATGGTACATCTGACATCAAGAGTATTAAAGTACACCTTTTACAATTCAATGGGCCCACCAATAGATATCTGATCTCCCACAAAATTAACCCATAATTACTTGAAATAAGCATGTTACAGGCTTTCAATAAAGACACATGTTACAGAATAATATATTTTGCTTCAAATGACCTTTTTAAGTGTATAAGTTGATTTATATTTTACCTAGTTTTATCTGCTTATTGACTTTAGGACAAGGAAAACAAATTCAAATTTAACAACTCTGTCAACGACACAATTAAACCATTGCATTTTTGATGATTTTGATAATACTTTTTGAGAACGTGGTTTATATGAATTGCGTTTTTCTATCACAAATTTAGCCATTAAGAAAAAATTCTGATTCTTTAAAAACAATACCTATATACCTTTGCTTTAAGTAAAGGTATATACATGAATACTGTAGTTTTTTTTTTTGAAAGAAATTTTGAATTTAATGTCCAAATTTTGGAACACAGGGAAAAACTTCACACAAATATAAATAATCTCTTTGGTATATCTCTAGTGACATTTAATATTTAATCAAGTTCTTCATTAATACTCTTCCATCAAACTTGATAATACCTGTAGTATTAAGTAAAGCTGATAATAACCAAAATAAATACATTTTGTTTTCTGTCAGCTTATAATATTTTGTATTAATGACCACATTTTGATAAGTAATTTGTTTACTTTGTATTTCTATGTTTACAGATCAACTCTCACCTGTCCTGACCTAAACAGTGTCTAGATAAGGCCCAGACTGAACTGATAACGAAGTAGGACAGTGCAATACAGATGGTAAATGATAAAAATAAAAGGTACAAACTGATGATTTTCTTTTTGCTCCATATTTAAAGAGTACACTATTGTCAAAGATTCCATATATGTATAATGATTTTTTATTTTTGCATGTAATTATTGTTATTTTTTGGCATGTTGTACAAAAAATGACATTTAAACACACATACAAAAAGTAACATGACAACTGCATGACAGTCTTAAGGTATCTAACAAATTTGAATGAGAAGATTTCAGAACAAGTCAGTATTGCATTTGTTTTTCCATTTAATGCAATAAGTTTAATGACCGAACCAAACAAATATAGAAACAAATTTGAATATACTGTAAAACCTTAGTGAGTTTAACCTTTGGGAACTTATTTTTTATGCCCCTGCTGTCACCTGAGAGGGCATAAAGTGTTACCCTTGTCCGTCTTTACGTCAGTCGGTCCCAAAATTGGTTTCCGTTCACAAACTTTAGTTTGCCTAAATCAAATGCTATGAAACTTATACACAATGCTTATAACCACAAAACACAGATCAAGTTCGAATTTGGGTTCTCGAGTTATGCCCCTTTATAACACTATATGCATGCGGGGGCATCATCTGTGTCCCATGGACACATTCTCCATTTATTTTAAATTATCAAGAATTTGGATTTTACAGGTTACTTTAGATTCATTGTTGGGTGGGGTGGGGGGAGGGAAATGTGGATTTATGTGTACAACAAATATAATTGTTCAACAAACAAAGATATTCTCTGGTTTTTGTTTTCTGAATTTAGTTAAAATCACAAATTAAAGTATCCAAAAAAGTACAATTTTTCCTTGATCCACAAAATTGGTACGTAGAAAGTAAATGAATCCACAGTTAAAAGAATATATATATAAGAACCGTTAAGGTAGGTTTTACTGTATTGATATCTGACACACTTTATGAGGATAGAAATGTCCTCTACCGTCAGGCGTCAAACGGTCATTTTCGGCTACCGTTAGCGTCAAATTGGTTATAATTTTATCGTGATTCGTCAGAGGTCTCAAAAATTAACCGTTACCGTTATTACTGTAAAAACTTTAACGTGATTCTTCAAAATCAGTCGATTTTTTTATCGTCATAAAGAAAACATACATTTTATCGTCATGCACCAAAAATTACCGCTAACGTCATTTGGCAAGATTTTTTACCGTTATTCATCATGAAAGTACCCCCATTATGACCCTCCTTTATGGTCATGTTGTCAGATCTGTAGGGTGACTATTGATAAGTTATATCACTTTTAATTCCTGGGGCAATAACTTTTCCTTGGCACATCAAGCACAGATAAAACATGCAATGTGAACATGATGAATCTACACAGATTAAAATGAAAGATCAGGCAGGTAAAAAGTGTATATAGTTTGTCTTTATAATGTTCTTAATGAATCCAATGATCACTCAATAGTTTAACAAGAAGAATATTTAGTAGTTTTTTAAATCATTTGAAGATACAATGTCTGGAGGTTCATTATTTAAAATTTTATTAAATAAGGGGAGATTACTCAGATAATTTACTATTATGAAAGAATGTACAGTAAAGTAAGCTGTTTTTTATTGGCTCCACAAATGCTCACAATACATTTTTAGTATTCAGATTTCAAGTTAAAATAACTCATTGAATAATTGATGTAACAAAATTATTTTCAGGTGTTTTTGTATTTTTAATTTTACAAACTCCACACCACCTATATCCTTAAATAAGGTTAGGGTAACACACATTATTAATTTTGCCCAAAATTTATAAATTCTGCTTACAAAGAAACTATGCTGCCACAATTAAACAATGATCTGAACATTATTCAGCTAATAAATATATGGGTATTTGTTTTGCATCTGTAAAATTATATATGTTTTTTACTTTAATATGGAATGCATGAACTGAATAAGCCATCAATCAACCAGTTAGCATACAGAATTTCCACTAACATCATGTCATATGTTGGAGTTGTTTTCTTTGGAATTGTTGGAAGTAATGAAATTATTAGTTTTTAAATGGCTTATAATAGTAATATGATTGAAATCAAGAGTGATTATTTCAGTTATCCCATTACTCTTATGACATAAAAAAATTCAGTCAATGTTCATTTTGACTTTTAAGGACTTGAACATGTTGAAAAAACATTAGACTTTTTGTCCATCATGGCTGAATTAATACAATTCAGTTGTACTGCAATCAAAACGTAATAATATTTTCTTAATTTGAACTTTCAGGTTGGTTGGTTGAGATAACCTGATAAATGGTCCAAGAAAACTCTCACACAATGTTTACATGTACATACTAGTCTGAACTTAAGTAATATTTATTTATATTTAAAAGTATAAACATGATCTTATTGATAGTAAACCATAAATATTTTTTGTATATTAATATTCTTTTATTTATTTATTTTTATTATAATTTTAGATGTATGAGTAATTCAGTGTGCAAACTATATATTGTAGGTGTAGAGGCCTGTGAAGGGGATAAATGTCACTGTAACCTTATTTTAAGCCTTTGATGGGATGAGAGGATCACTTTGACATAATTTTGTACCCTCAGTTCCAAACCTGGAGCTTGATTAAATTAAAAAATATGAAGCACAAGAACAAAGGTAATTTTCACTATAAAAGACTGATAATGAGGCTTTACTAAAGCTACATCTACATGTATCAAATGATATTGATAAGGCCAAATATAGAATATAATTTCCTTTCTCCTTACCTATCAATCATTAAAGTTTATACAAATTGTATTTATCTTCAATTTTTAAAGTTTTTTTTAAATGTCATCTATGAACATTATCCTACATTAAGTGTTTGTCTTGTCCTGATGATGGCTTGGTCATAAGGTATTAAGCAAATAAATGCCCATATGGTATTTCTTTTTGCTTAGGCTGAATGTTAAGTGAAGACCACAATGACAAGGACAGGACTCAACAATAATATTTTTCAGATTTTCTGGTACTAGAAACAAATTTGGTCTGACAAGTAAATGGCAACAAAGGCTATTCTGATGGCATAAGTGTAATTAGTCATGACCTGTGTTACACAAACATACTCAAAGATTTAAATTTCGGGTAACATTATAAAAAGAAGATGTGGTATGATTGCCAATGAGACAACTCTCCACAAGAGACCAAATGACACAGAATTTAACAACTATAGGTCACCGTACAGCCTTCAACAATGAGCAAAGCCCATACTGCACAGTCAGCTATAAAAGGCCCCGAAATGACAATGTAAAACAATTCAAACGAGAAAACTAACGGCCTAAATTATGTACAAAAAATGAACTAAAAACAAATATGTAACACATAAACAAATGACAACCACTGAATTACAGGCTCGTGACTTGGGACAGGCACATACATACAGAATGTGGCGGGGTTAAACATGTTAGCGGGATCCCAACCCTCCCCCTAACCTGGGACAGTGGTGTAACAGTACAACATAAGAACGAACTATAAAAATCAGTTGAAAGAGGCTTAACTCATCAGATGGATAAAAATACAAATATACAAATACAAGTGGACGTGGATGGGTACTTGTACATCCAAACAACAAAAAGACACTAAGTACAGATCTGAGAGTACTCGCAGTTACTGACAGCTAGTTCAAAGCCACTAACAACTAATAAAAAAAAATCATGCATCTAAGACTAAATTAACTTGTTACTCCATTAAAATGTGAATAAAATGATCTTTAATTGGCGGTTAACTTTCTCACCATATAATTCCATTGTGCAATTCATTTTTTTGTATTTTGATTTGAATTATTTTACATTTCCACGTCCTAACTTATCACAAACATTGCCATTGCTTTACGTTGGGGTGGGGGTATCATTTTGTGAGATTTGCTCACAATAACTCTTGTGTAATAATAATTTTTACAGAATTTCATATCACACTTATTGTTTAGTATTGTCAAGAATTGCTGGATTGCTGTCAGTTGAGATTTATTTTAGAAAACATGACAGTTGAGTTGATTACTACACTCTTGGGCAAAGTATGAACTGGTACATGTATCAAAACTTTTTGACCCTTTTCAAAATGAAAACACTAAAACTCAGGATTTTACTTGCTTCTTTTGGAATCACTTTTAAGAAATTACCATGTGAGAATTTATCATCTTGGTACATTATAATAACTTACTTCCATGTTTGTACCATATTTTAAGATATATCTTTTAATTTTGAAATGTTCCCACCAGCACCAATAATCATTCAAAATTCAATGACAGGATTAGTTTTTTTGTTTGGTTTCTTTGTTTGAACTATATTCTAAGCAATTTAATTTTTGAAAATTACTAGTCTTTAAACGTGATAAAAACTGCTATCTCAATTTTAACTTCTTTCTGTTGAAGTACCAGATAACAAATTGACAACTGGAAAATATTTTTTTATAAAAATAATATAGGACTGACAGCCGTAACAAGTAAATAATCAGAGGAATATTTCTTAGTGAAATAGGATCTCTGTTGCCAAGTTGTCCCTAGTTTTTTTTTTAGGATAAGGCTATATATATTATATATATCTATAAACTTACAAAATAAAGCACATATTTTTGTTTTCTTACCAAATCGATATTTCTTTGATGCCTGTTTAATGTGTTTATCTGATTGTTTTCAACGTACGACTTGTCTTTAATGGTTAAAATAGCTATTAAAGAAGAAAAATATAGATAATATATATGAAAAAAGATTGGCGATTTTGTGCTAAAAAATTGATATTTTTCCGATCACAGGAGGACATACGCCATCTACGCCCCCACCAGGATCAGCCTCTGCCTTTATTTCTTCTCTATTCTCAAAGAAAACAAACGTGCAAGGATGTGTTTACACTTGCACTTGAATTATCATTAAATCTGTAACATTCCCTGTACACACATAATGCATGTAGGTGTTTACATGTGTGTAACAATTATGTCAGTTCGTAGGTGTATTTCAAGGTAACGGTAATTATCAAAGTATACTACAATTTTATAATGACTAATGGAAATTTACTTATGTTTGACAATCAATGTACATATATTTTCTTTTTTAATATTTATCATAGGAGTTATTTTGCAAATGAAAGATCCTATGATCTGTGGGTGTTGACGTATGGTTTGTTGGAAGCAGCATTACTAGTGGCATTTCGACTGGTTACTTGCTTTTGGTTTGCAACAGTAAAACCGGCAGTAGCCTCTAATTCTGATCAGTTTCTTGTTATATTTGGTGTGATTTATTATAGTACAATTTTGACCTGAGTACTTGTTAGTTTGTACTGTAGTTTAACAGTAAAACCTGCATTATAAGTCTGACTGAGTACCTGTTTAAGTTTTGATAAAAACAGTAAAACCTTCACTATAACTGTTTATGTTTGTCTAGGTACATCAACTTGTGGTTTTGTGTTAATTTTTAATGAAACCTTATTCTGTTAGCTATATAGTATTTATATTTTACATCATTTGAATTTGCTCTCAACTGGAAACCTCATAACTTGTGGTTCAGATACATGATTAATTGTTGGTTGCTTAACACCCAGATGGAAGGTTCAAATACAACAACAAAAAACTATTTTGTGGACTATGCTAACTAGATACATTTTTTGCTTATTGTTTATAACAGTGAAACATGTTTAAAAATCAGAGTCTATCATTAATTGAGTACTATTTTGAAACCTGCTTCATTTAATTCTACATATTCATGTAGAACTCACTTCAAATGCAACAAAAGATCTTTTAAATGGTCAGCCAGGTAGGTTGTATATTTTGAAAATAATTAAAAGAATCACATAAACTTATAAAAATCCCAATTTGGGTTGTTGGTGTTATAAAGAAGTTTGTTCTGAATCCCCATCCCCAAACACACACTTACACTTTTTATTCTTCAACAGTACTTGCTAATGATATAAAGCCTGGAAGAGACCTCCTGGTAGTCTTAACTATCTTCGCACAAACTTTAGGTTGAATTGTTAACCGTCATTCATGTCATTATAACATGCTACTGGACGTTAAGCAAACAACAATTAGTCAAACAAAATTAATCGTACAATTACAAATTTTTTAAAATGTTTTAAATGGATTTATATAGCCTGTTTGTTGACTACCAGTTACAGTCTGCTGCAGTATTGATTTAAACGTTCTTCAAATTTAGTCATCTGTGATAACAGGATGAATTACATCAATTTCAAATCAGATTTAAAAAAACAATATTCGGCTTACGATATTACTTTTATATTTTTAATTCATAAATTAATGTCACACATAAAAGCATTTACATCATAATCAATATGATTTATAGTAGTTATCAAGGTTAAAGAATGTATTTATCACGAATTTACAGCATGTATTACAGAACTAGACAAATTGTTTTACATGTAGGCATTTTCAGACGAAAGTCTTAGAATGCAAGATTTAGGGATTACAACCTGGCGGCGGCAACGGCGTAAACTATTTGTTTAAAGCTGTATATTTCAGATGGTAGAAGACCTTGTTATTGATGCCTTATGTTACAAAGTTTCCGTCTGTCATATGTCTGTTGTCCTTGAAATCATTTTCATGGTTCAGACTGCTTGAACAAAAATTTTTTGGCATGTGAATTTCTCGCTTATTATGAGTTATAGGATAACTATATTTGGGATGTGTGTTCCTTGCAAGGTCTATATGTCCATCAGACAGGAGGGTTCACTCGACCTTGTTTTATGGATCTGTGATCAGGGTTAAGTTTACATGGTCAGGAGCGGATCCAGCCATTTTTAAAAGTTGGGTTCCAACCATAGGTCCCCATTGAAAAGCATTGATTGTAAAAAAAAAAGGGGGTTTCCAACATGTACATGTTTGTCTGGCATGGTTCATCTGACAATGACCTCATTTTCATAAAACATTGATACTGTTAATTTTATATGATACGTGTAGTAAAACGTTCATATTACAGTCTTTCAACATACATTCAATCATCAGTAAACCAGGAGAGACATTTCACCATACATAAAATCTTATAGCCTGTAAAAGCATTTATGAGGAGTGTATAGTGCAGCCCTAGTATTTACCAATGAACCCTGTAAACAGTACAGGTGACAAGGAATTGACATTTAGACTTGTAAATTTTTCCCAATAAAACCTGCTGCTTGTATTTGAATACAATGACGACAGCAACACAAACTTTCAAAGTGTTAATTTATAAAAATGCTGGCTACCTAGAACATTTAATCTTTTATATAGGTTGGTTATGTGATGCTGGCTACCTAGAACATTTAATCTTTTATATAGGCTGGTTATGTGATGCTGGCTACCTAGAACATTTAATCTTTTATATAAGTTGGTTATGTGATGCTGGCCACCTAGAACATTTAATCTTTTATATAGGCTGGTTATGTGATGCTGGCTACCTAGAACATTTAATCTTTTATATAGGTTGGTTATGTGATGCTGGCTACCTAGAACATTTAATCTTTTATATAGGTTGGTAATGTGATCCTGGCTACCTAGAACATTTAATCTTTTATATAGGTTGGTTATGTGATGCTGGCTACCTAGAACATTTAATCTTTTATATAGGCTGGTTATGTGATGCTGGCTACCTAGAACATTTAATCTTTTATATAGGTTGGTTATGTGATGCTGGCTACCTA